TCGTTACTCCGATCGCTGCGCCGCCCGGCTTGTTGAACGACCCCTTTCACCGTGTCGAGGGCTCGCCGAGGGGGTTCCCAGAAAGCCAAGCCGACACGGAGGAACCTGGAAGAGGAAAAGCGCCCCGGCCGTGGCCGACCAAGTAATGACACGTCACTCACCTGAAGCTTGACGTGCAATTCTGCCACGTTGGAGGCACCGCTGACGTCCCACCCAAAGCGTCCCTGGTGGGCGTTGCAGAACCGGCGGGCGTACTCTAGGTAGGTCCCGAAGAGAGAAGGGGCGATGGCAGAGAGCTGAGGGTAAAGCTCCACAGGTCGCGCTAAGGCGGGCGTGCCTGAAAGGAGGATGACGCGCTTGGCCTGAAGAGCAGAGGGAGGGAAGGGGAGTGGATTGAAAGAAGAAAAGGTGAGAAGGAACCGAAGCGCATGCTATCCCTCCATTGCCTTCCCCAGCGCGCCGATATTATCGCCTCAAGACCAAGTGAAGTATTATTAAAGCAGAAGAATCACCTGTTTTAAGATCGGCGACAGCAGCTGATTTCGCAGCGAGTTCTGGTTCTTGATGGAGTGCGACTCGTCCAATACCACGACATGGGGCCGGGCCCTCTGTAACGCTTCCACCACAGGCGCGGTCGCAGAGAGCATGCCGTAGGTCACAAGCACCACGTCCGCGTCGCGTAAGGCCTCCACGTCCGCACGAGACCGCACCATTTTGATCCTCTTGGGGTTGAGTTTTGTCCATCGCTCCAATTCGTTCGCCCAGCTGAATTTAACAGAGGAAGGCAAGACCACTAGAGCCGGAAAGTCCGTGTGGAAATGAAGCATGATCCCGATCGCTTGAAGCGTTTTTCCCAGGCCCATTTCATCAGCCAGCAGCACGCGGCCTTGAGCTTTGATTCCAAAAGCAATGCCATCTCGTTGGAAGGGCATAAGCCGTCGGTAGAATTGATCACTCAACAAGCTGGAGCGAAACGCGTCCGAGTTGGGCTCTCCGCCCGACGCAGGTGGTACGGACATATTGAAGGCCTACCGAAGTCGTGATTCTTGAAAAATGGGAGCCACAGAGCGTCTTTGCTGTGACATTTATGGGCTAGCACGAGGCGGCATGTCCCTTGCTCAGAAAGTAAACTGGTTCAGAGGGAAGCAAGCAGGGGAGGTTGACTGACGAAAAACTGGGTACATGCATCGACTAGAGACCACTGACACGACAATATTTATTAAAACAGCCAGGATTGTGAATTGTGCTCATACATCGATCTTGATATCGTGGTTATCGGCCTCATTTTCCTTTTTTTTTTGGCGACGCTGCAAAAGCATCATTTATCCCCGGCTGGCGAGTAGCGGAGTCACCAGAGAGGTCGCCCCTGAAACAGGTCTTATTACCTCATCTCAGTCCAAGCACGCCCTTCCCGTCCACAGTCTTCTTTCGAGAAATTTTTGGCTACATCAGCTAGCGAAAAAGGCATTTGAACGTCTCATGTCATCGTTTTCAAGTGGTATTTGCATGCGGCACCTCTCTAGAAGGCTGCCTTCCCCTAGAACCAAGAGCATCATGAACCGAGCATTAGTCAGGGCATTCGGAGGGCAAAGCAATTGTATTAGCAGGACAGTATCTCTTCTTCAACCACCTGTCATATCGGGGCTACCATCACAAGCCGTCCGTAACTTCAGCAAAAAAGGTAGGCGAAGGGAGCACTGTGCTGTGGGTATCTGCCAGCGCTTTCCCAGGATTGAGAGTATTGAAATGACGTCGACATAACGTGCCATTTAAGTTTACCGTCGTGTTGAGGACCAAAGGATCGCATGCGTGTCCGTAAAAAGGGCGAACGAGGGATGGGAATTCAGAGCTCCGTCGTCCTTACCATAACCTCCCCCCCCCTTAATGTCCAATGAAGGCTTCCCTTCGGGTCGAAGTCTTTACTGTATATCTCTTTGTTGGCGCGCGCTTCTTCCACCTCTCTGTTGTACCCATTTCTATTAAACCCCACAAAACCAGACCGACGAAAAGGCAGCGCCAATGCTGGCGGCTCTGGGTCCGGCTCGGGGACGGCCGCACCGTCACGCCACACTGCACCGCACCACCACCACGCCCCGTCCATCGGCGGCGTGACACATAACGAACAGCCCTTGGTCGACCTGGACAAGCTGCAATCGAAAATGGAGCGGGTGCTGCGAGGTTTGGAAAAAGAGTTCTCGGGCGTGCGGGGGGGACGGCCGGACGCGGGGATGTTTGACCACCTCCACGTGCAAGCCTATGGGAAAGCGACGCCTCTTTCCGACGTTGCTCAGGTCACGATCAAGAGCCCGACGCTGGCTGTCATCCATGTCTACGACCCGGACATCCTCCATCCGGTCCACGAAGCGGTCCAAGCCAGCAAGCTCGAGCTGAATCCCCGTGTGGACGGAAACGTGGTGAATGTCCCACTGCCCAAACCGTCCGCGGAAATGCGGCAAGGATACGTGAAACTGGTGAGTCAATGCACGGAGACGGCCCGGCAAAACCTTCGGAAGATTCGGCGGGAGGGTATGGACCGGTTGAAAGGGGAAGGGAAGGAGGGTGTGGGGGAGGACGACGTCCGCAGGAGCTCCAAGTTGATCGAAAGCATGACGGAGGAGTGGGTCAAGAGGGTCGGGGAGGCTCTGGAGAAAAAGAAGAAGGAGATCATGACGGTATAGACCCAGGAGCGTGTGGCAGCCACGTGGACCGAGACGGCGGGTGAAGCTCGTCTGTGCGGCCATTTGAATGCATGGACTGACCGTCGCCAGGGAAAAGAAAGTCTAACAATTGCAACAGGATAGCTGATGATAGCAACCGCGTCAAGATTAGGCCGATGCCTGTCATGGGTACGACACGGCTCAGCCGTCTTGGTGACATTTTTCTTTCGCGACCTTTCCTTCATACCGGCTCAGACCCCTTCCTTTCCCTCCGCACGGCCTTGTCGGTGTGGAAAGAGTTTGCGGAGTTCTAAGGCCTCCGCCGCCATTTCTGCCTGCGTCCGAGGCCGCCGTTCCACGTCCAGGTCGAAGTGCTTCTTCAAATGCACTGCCTCCAGCTCCTCGTACACTTTATCGTTGGGCGTGAAATCACCCTCCAGACGCGGGAGAACGTGCACGTGCACGTGCGGCACCGTTTGCCCGGCCGCCTTCCCGTCTTGCATGGAGATGGTCAAGCCTTGCTTCTTCTGATATGTCTGCAGCACAGGGCCTATTTCATGCACTGCCCGGTACAAGTCACTCACTTCCTCGGGCCTCAGGTCCGAGAACCGCTCTACTACCCGGTAAGGTAAGATGAGGACGTGGCATGGGACCAGAGGCTTCAAATTCACGATTGCCATGGAGTGATGAGATTGGAAAAAAACCTGATCGGGCGTGATTTCGTAGGGGCCGAAGAAGAGAGGGGATGGCAGAGGGGGAGGTGCTAAAGCAGACGAGAGAGAGGCAGGGCGATCATTGCAGCCAATAGCCGTGGAGGACATGGGGGATGACACGCGAGGAATGAGGTTGGGAAGGTGCTGGTACTGTCCCACGTGCCGGGAGGCAAATGCAAAGGACGCGACGGTCGGAAGACCAAATACGGCGGTTGCGGCAACAGCAGTGACAGTAATTCTGCGTTTATTCTGGCAACGTCGAAGAAGCGCGGCTGAATAAGGCAGTGACATACCAGTCCTATGAATGGCTGCTGCTGTAGGGAGGCTGCCGGTGATAGATTCGTAATACCGAGGAGTTGACGGGTTATTATGCTCGTGCAAGTCGATTCATTCTGGCTTCAAACCGATGAACTTTTGTAAAATATCGAATGGAAGATTTTCTGTAGCGGGCAAAGTACATTTGATGTTGAGCGTCTTGTTAATATTTTTTCCTTCCTCCCAAAAAACCAAAACATGTCGCCAATGCTCCCCAGCCGTTTCCTCTAACTAACAAGCATGACATGCATTCGACATAGGCAGCGTGCGCCTTACCGTACACGACAAAGTGCTCTCCTCCCTCTTCAATATTTGCACAACATCGCCTTTGCAATTTATTGGCAATCGTCTACTGAATCTTACCGCCGTCCCGCGTATTTTTTGGCTGCAGGCTTTCTATTTATGCTGGTGCCGCCCTACCACGGTATCTGTCCTGTTGCTGCACAGTCGTAACCTTAAATGGACACCGCCGCAGCACCATCGTTCACGGAAGAGCTTTCCCAAGAAGATGAGCAAAAGCTTCTGGCCAATCCTATACTTCAGGGGGTGCTGCCCTTACATGAGACATCGGACATGGTACTTGTCGTCCGCCTCCGCCGGTAAGCTCTGAGGTCCTTCACGATTTCCACCTCAACACTCCGCCTCAGCGGTCATCCACTTCCACAGTATCATCCAGGGCGACGAAAAGGGATTAGCACGGGTCATTATGAAGCACTATCGCTTCTGGTACCACGGGACGATGCATGAGACCAGTCAGGTGGGTTGTCATCGCATGGATTGTGAGCTTTGTCCCCTCCGCGTCTAAAAACTCGCCCGTCGTTGTCATCATTCTGTACGAGCATGCATCAATCAGCTCACGCACGATCATTTTCGTCGCGTCGTGTTGTCCTGTCTTACTTTCCTCTCTATGGTCTCACCGCGAACACCTTTCTTTTCTTGATGTTGCTCCGCCCTCCTTATCTGTGCACACTTGTATACATAGGTATTTTGGACCGAAAACCATATTATCATGTCTCAATCTTCAGAGTTGCTTCTTCGAGAGTTCCTCGGTCTCCCGATTCCATCCGTTCTCCTGAACCGGCTCGATGCCTTCTTGGACTTAAAGCTCTCCATAGGTACTTAGCTTCCCACTTCCCCTTCCATGTCTACACGTAAAGTTTACGTGAAAGCCACAAACAAGTAAGGTTGCCGACAGCAATGTGAATTTTTCTAACCTATGAGCATTTCTCAGGTTTGGCAGAGTTTCTCTCGCCCGTGTACTACCCTTTTACCATAGCCAGCCTCCTCAACCTCGTAGACTACACCCATTCCGAGACATTTCGCGCCAAAAGTCAGCAGCTTCTTGACAAAATGTCCTACCAAATCCTCTCTATATGCCTGCCTGATGGCTCCTTCGTGTCCCCCTCGGGACGCTCCTACGCCCGGCACCGGCGCGCCACCCGCGGGCACCACCTCTCTTTCTTCATCGACTACATTACTACACGCAAACACATCCCATCCCCCCCCGACGCCCCAGAGAGCGCGCTGCGAGAGGCCGTCAAGGACACCTCGTATTTACCGTCCGAATGGGTGTACTCGAATTTTAGATCTCCTGTTACGGACACCCAGATCCCCTTGTCGCCGACTTGGACCGAGCTCTCGGCCTTTCTGGACGCGCGTCGAACAGAGGAAGGTCCCGGAGGAAAGGGGCTGGAGGCAATGCCATTGGATGAACGTGTGAGCGCCATGTGGAGCCACGGAGGTTATTTCCATCCAGAAGCCGTCGAGGCTATCGTCCAATTTATGGACCAAGAACATTTGTGGGGGCACCCGCATTTCGCAGCGGCGGCGCCTGCGCGGCAAGTTCTCGGCATTTGCTGCTCTACCTGTGCCTTTGGTGGTTGTTTGACCTGCCTGGCCCGGTCTTGCCTGATCAAGCCCTTTGTCATGGGAGCTTTGCTCACAGGGGCGCGTGTGCAGGTATACAAGGAGGGGAATGTCCTCCTCTCTTCCTTAGTGGGCGGGTACAACGCAGGCTTGCCTGCCTTCCAGCAATGGTAGGTGGAGGGAGGGACAATCTGAAGAAGAGGGGCGCATTACTAAGGGAGAGAGGCAGGGAAGGGGTCCGTGAGTGGAGAGGGACGAAAGGTATGCTTGAGGGAGCAATTGCGGTGGTCGCTCTAGCTAAACCCATCCTCCTCCATGACTCCTTCTCTATTGTTCCGACCTCCTCCTGGCTTCACTGCCTGGTCGGGCTTGTCTCTTGGGGTCACGCAGGCCATGGGCTGTAAATTTGGCCGGTATCCCTATCTGGTGCACCTTTGGACCGGTGGCAGCGGGCGCCATAGGGCGACACTTAGGCAACAGCCACGCAGGCGCCGAAATGAGCACTGCGCGCGTGACTCCCTCCATGAGTCAGGAGAAAAACGTCCTGCACGCGCACTACGTCTCTGCGTCGGGCATCCTCGCCCTGTGGAACCGGTCGGTGCGACCGCGCGTCCGTTGGCCGGAAGAGGAATTGGATGTAAGTGAGAGAGGATTGCCACTTGTCATGCCCTGCTGTGAATTTTGGAATCAAGATCTTCTGCCGCGCACCTGCGGCTGAATGCACCGCTCTTTTCGTACGGCAGACGCTTCACCATTGGGAAGCATGAACGGTTTCGTTCCTCTCGCCTCACATTTTGTCATTTTCCCACCCTTTTGTCCCTGCACATGGTCGCCGCCTGCCTATCTGTCCTTGCGCCCGCGGTCGCTTAGGAGCATGGAAGCTTACTCCTCACCCCAGGTGCCCCCCGGCCTCCCCTTCGATGTCTTGGTCTCTTTGACCCTGTCCGGAAAGGAAGTAAGCAAGCCTGGCAATGGGGAAGGAAAGGGAGCGCAGTCATGGCCTGGACTGTACAGGGGCTGGAAGTGACAGTAGTGGTGAGAGACCTGTCCCAGGCGCGGTGTTCCCTCAAGGAGTTTTTGATTGGGTTGAGGAAAGACTTTGGGGGAGGCAGTGGTGTAGACGGGAGGGATGGGTGTGAGGATTTAGGGCTGCTGGGCTGACGGGAGATATTGGAGCATGGATCGAGGGCACTTTGCTGTTCTTCGAAGGGCAGTAGCTCCCAGCATGGATATGGGGTGACGGAGTTATCGAGAAAGAGAGAGGAGAATGGGAGGAGGAAGAGAGTAGTTAGCTCAAACGGCGCCGAGCTACTTGGCATGATGACATTGGCGATACATGGGAGAAATAATAGTTGGACTTGCGCGTAAAATGACTGTAGAACAACCAACTCATGAAAGAGCAGGCGCGCTGATAAAGCCATCGGTATTTCAAACGGAACGAGAGTGCCGTACAAGAAAGCTCGGAAAATGATGCTCAGACACAGCCTTCAATGAGGAAGAGGAACGCTCCGGCAAAGACCTGTGATACTCTATTGTTTCTTTCCTACCCCTCCTTGGCTACGTGACACTTTTCTCGGCCTCTTTCAATCCACGTGTCAGTTCTCCCACACACCGCTCAAAACAATGGCGTCTCGCCACCCCCCTACCTTTCTTTCCTCTCTACTTCCCATCCTTGAGTTCGTTCATTTTCTTCACGAGCTCCCCCAGGCCATCCTTGACCTTGATCCTCAATGTCATCATTTCCTGTGCGGCCGTGGTGTCGAGCACGGGCTTGCAGGCGAAGGCCACGCTGCTCGCCTTCTCCATGGTGCTGAAAGACATGGGAGGGGTAAGCGCACAAGAAAGGACTACCTTACCGGTGATGTTGCGCACAGCCAGCCATTGTTTCTTGGCGGCAGGGTCCCGATACAGACCTGAGGGAAGGAGTGGGGAAAGGGAACGAACGGCAAAAACGAGAGAGGGGATCGGATGAGGGGGGAACAAAGGGGGGAGACAAGGGTCATGACGAGCACTTCATGGCCAAAGAAATCGATACAGTCAGAAGGGATGGGTGTATCTAAAGTCTACTGAACTACCAGAAAAAGGGGGGTTCGGGGAAGAGAAGAAATAGGTAAGAGCACTGGAGATGCGGATGAAAGCCAGTTTGAGGACACCAAACCAATGCCATCTGGAAAAAGCGGGAAAATTTGCCAATAAAACCACAATGGGTCTGAGAGGGAGGTGCAAAGGCCACACAGGCATGGCCCACGTACCCAGAGAGCCTTTCCCCATATCC